AAGATTGTGGCAAAATCAGTCATTAAAATGATGGAAGGGCAGGAGAAGCAGGCCTGGGTGAGAGATTTGAGACCTCATTCTCACTGAAAAAGAACTGAGAGAGGGTTTGGTTGTGGCACCTGGGTACTTTTATGGGGTGGAAGAAGCCCACTGAGGACCAGCAGCTGGGAGCCAAAGGCAGATAATTCACAACAAGGAGCGAGTTGTTAACATTTGAGAGTGAACATCTCCGAGGAAGGATGGATTCCCTCACTGCTGATGTCTTCAATTAGAGACAGGGTGCCTTTCTGGCAGAGATGCTTCTGCTGGCCACAGCTCAGGTCTGAGACGAGGTCCCTGTGACCTGGATCATGCAGAAGGTTAATGTAGGTGACTTGAAAGTCCCTTTTGGCTTAACTTACTGCTGTCAGCCCCACTGGCGGTCTGCTGTTGGTTCTCCAGAAAGCATTACAGTTCAACCAGTGCCATGAAGTTTGCTCTCGTGGCTTTGTAGTTTTGTCTGAGTTGTCATTTCACAGCTGCTTTATGGTGCCATGTGATGAGAGTTTTCCAGAGGAAGGGTGGCTGCATCAAGTCCCCAGGTCCACCATATAAGGAGGTCACACAAGATAATCAAGTGACCTCCTGTGGCCTGTAAATCCCTGAATTTGGCAACATAATGTGCCTCTTGTCTGTACATCATATGCAGTCACCATAGCATCTGTTGGCTTTCTCCACACTGTCCCACACGTGGTGGAGGGAGATTAATTTGTTATTGCTGGAAGAGTGGAAGAGTGCTTTGAGATACCTGTGGCCGAGGACGTGGTGCAATAAGGTGTCATTCAGCTATATTTTAAGTGTGTGATGAAGTCATGAAAAATTGTTAAATCTCATTTAATGCCATGTGAGGGAGAGGGTTAGACTTTTTTTATACTTTGCTGGTATAGTAATGCTTCTTTTTTCAGCTGGCCTAATAAGCTTCTGAGTATGCTTGTGCCCATAATGTCCATTTCACGCTTGAGAAATCTGGTGTTTTTAGAGGCCCATTGAAATGTAAAAACTTTAGAAGAGAGAGAAATGTTTCAAGTTCCTGAATCAAATATTCTTCCCATTCCCTCTAACCTGTTTTTACTAGATTAGTTGCTTGTATTAAAGTGGAAAAGTTTCCCAAAAATTCACTTTTATCTTTCTCAAGAGTTACATTTTCTGTCTGATAACATGATGCCCTTGTTTCTGCAGCTCAGGATGCAGTGTATGTGGTCAAGATCAAAACCTGGTCTTGTCTGGGGAGGCACCACGCTTGAACCATCTCAGGGGGACAGAGAGATGGGAGGAAGGTTCCCATCATTTCCATCCCGGATCGCTGCTTGCAGGTCCCCACGCGCTTCCTTGGTGTAGTTGCCCAGGGGAAGGTGCAGGGATTTACAAAAGCCACTGAATAGTTGTCTGATGACAATTAGCTGCATCCTAAAAGTGCTGTAGATCGGGATAGTTTCTTTGAAAACAAGGCATCAAAGGCAATAGCTTTGAGTTGCTTCTAACGTTTGCTGGAATTAATGTGATGAATTGTATGTGCTTATCAAGGCTTGGAGGCATCCAGCTCCTTTGTAGCATCCTTCTCTTTAGGGAAGAGTTTAATGCTGGTGCACTGATCTCTCTATCCTCTGGGGTCCCCAATTTCAGACGTTTGAGGTAGGATCCGCTTCACTTTCTCAATTGACAGTAGTTGCATCATGTTATTGTTCAGCAAGTTACAGGAAAACAAGAGAATCAATAAATTTGCTGGGTTTTTCCTTGGGATATATTGATTTACAGGCTGCTTAAATCTTAAATACTCCCAGATGAAAGGCAGGAGTACGCCTATTTTCGGTGAAACGCAAAAGCTGAACGCTGACACTTCCAGACCTGCAAAGCTTCAGACTTGATGGAGTAACTGGAAACATGCCCGTTGCAGAACTGGTGCTGAGTTTTGCTTCCTGTCCAGATCTTTACAACGCAAGAACGTGGACCTGACTCCAAAGCTGAGGTGAAGAACGGCCCTGACTTTGTTGGGTCATTGGACCTCTGAGCTAAATATCACATCTTTACCTCTCCCTCAATTTTGAATAGCAGCCAAAGCTCAGGTCTGGCCCTGGATTCTCTTTCATCTTTTGCACAGTCTTCTTGGAAATGAGTCGACACAAAAAAGTACAGTTGCGTGGGGGCTCGCCCTGGCAGCAGCTTTAGAAGTGGCTTGACCACAAAATGCAGGACAGTGCTATGGGAAAACCTCCATGCTGCCATTTTCAGCTTTGGGGAGCAAAAATGAGTTGATGTTCGTAGACACGGTATCTGAATCTTTCCTGAGAAGCTGAGATGACCCACGGTGAGTAGGAGTCTGATAAATTCAAAGTGGTACCCACTTCCCAGCGCATCAGTGAGGCAGAGAGGGGTTTCTGCTGCTGCTCTTTTGTCCTTTGTCCATCCATACATCTTCAACTAGCAAGGCAGGACCTTGCCTGGAAAGCATATCAATTTACTATGGACTCAATCCAGTGTCCACTAATCCTAATGAGTAGGACACCCAAAGACTTCAATGAGATCAGGCTTTCTGAGGAAATACCATCGTAACAGCAGAGACACAGTGTGGTACATGCTCTTTAGCAGAAGGCTAAATTATGTATTGGGGCTGGTTTTAGTAAGTTTGCAAACTTCTTAGAAGGTGGGATCTGCAACGGGAGGTAAAATTTGGTGGTCATAGGACTTCATCAGGAGAAAGGTGCTGCTTTCAGAAACTCATCTTATATTGTTGTTGAGCTGGAGAGAGTGATGACCAGTTCACAACTGGTCCAGACTGGAATTTACTGGAGGGGCCCTTGCCTGTGTCAGAAACCATGAAAGCTACTCTCAGGTGGTTTTTGCAAATGCTGCTGATCCTGAAGTCTTCATGAAGCAGCTGAGAGCTGGTGTGCAGGGTGGGTTGCCCATGTGCTGAGTGGGAAAGGAGCTGGCCAGGTGTGGGAGGCAGAAAATTTCCTAAGGCGTTTAACTTCTCACATAATAAAATCAGATCCTGTAAATGCAACGATGCACTGGGTGATTAATTAGGAAAGAGTTGGAATTTGGGCCTTATGGCTCTTAGTTAAGAAGGTGAAATGCTTCTGTCCCACTGGAGGCATTCAGCAGCGCCCACCAAGGTCTGCTTTGCTGCCCCATGCGATGTTCTTGGTTTTGTTGTCGTATTGGTTTGCCAAAGTGCTGTTCCAGTCTAAAAAGCAACTCTGAGCGGGGCCCAGCTGCCCCATCTCGAGCCACAGCCCCTGTTTCTGAGCCAGCAGATTTGGTCCTCCTGGTGCAGCTGCAAGAGCACTTGGGTTTGCTAAAACCATTTACAGATAAGAGCCTTGGCGATGTAGGAGAAATTTTAAATTCTCCTTGTCGACAATTTGGGGACCACTCTTGGCTCCTCTCCTTTCCTGGTTGATGCATCCAGAGGATGCCCGCAGCCTGTTGGGTTGGTGATGCTTCTGTGGAGGTGGTTTTCTCGAAGCCTGTGCTGGCCTCCTTCTGTCCAGGTCTTCCTTGGCCTCCTGGGTCAGTGCCTTAGGGCCATACCATTCCAAACCTCCTGGTTTTTTGATTCCTGTCTTACTAGCTGCTTCCCCTGAATCGGTGTGTGGAGTTGCCTCCTCTCCCGCTTCCCTCCTCATCGCCCATTCCCACTGTGATCCCTGCAACTGCTCTTTTCCAGCAGTTTCCAGATAGAGAAGCTATCCCTGGAAGCATCTGCTGGCTCACGCTGACTGTGAAAGTAAATACAAACGCCGTGCTGATTTTTGTCATGCTTTTCCACCTTGGGAGGGAGAGGGGGAAGAAATTCCTGCACCGGCATTGTCTGTCTCTGCTTTTGCCTTCTCCTATGGCTACTAATTGCATCGCAGCCCTCCTGGGGTGGGAGTGCTGCTGGCTCGGCTCTGGCCCTGCTCCACCACGGCTTAGAGCTGCATAATTTGTTCACCTCCCTGCAATAAATTGTTCATGCTTTTGATAGATCTTCAGTGAAATATTTTAATGCGTTCTTGTCAAATGTTCCTTCCCCCCACCCCCAGCAGCTATTGACAGATGAAAGCACTAACACTGGCTTTACATGGGAATTTAATCGTACCAGCTGTCATGCAGATCCCCAATACAAATATTTTCCACTGTTAATGGTTTCAGTGTGGCCTTTTTTTGTGTGATCAAATGTAATCTTATTTAATGGAGTTTTATTGCTGTGACGCCTTATTCTTTTCACCAGGCTGGACTTTATTTTTAAATCAAAAGAGATTGTTCAGAGGAGAGCCAGAGAAATGACTGGAGGGATTGAATGGGACGGGAAGCCTGGGATGAACTGAGTGACTATAGATCAGCCAGGGCAGGCGAAAAGTGTAAGAGCAAGGGAGAGAACAGGTCCAGCGTGGAAGGGGCAGTGAAGAAGAGGGAGAAATTCAGTGCGATTTTACATGTGTGTGGCTGGGGATAAGGGAAATTGCACAGGCCGGGAGGTTGGAAGAGTTTTAAGAGAGGGAGGCATTGCAAACGAGTTGTGTCCAAGGCAGAAATCATGGGTAGGTGCAGAAACAATTCAGTTTAGATCAGCACTGGAGAAATGCTGCTAGGGCTACTTCTTCAGGGACCATAGCAGAGACCAGCTGCAGCTGCTGTGTTTTCCTCTCTTCATTACTGCAGAGCCGCCGTCCTGCGTGCGAGAGGGCAGGTGACCACAAGCCCAGCCATTACACCTGGTACCTGGCATCATGGGGCTTGGGTTCAGCTTCGGCAGTCCTACAAGACGGGCAGGAGGCAGCAGGTAGAAAGGCTGGAAGCTGGAGCTGGTGCCGGACTGAGCGGATGCTTTTTTCTTAGACAGCATTTCTCCATCACAGGGTCTCTGAAGCAGGGTGAAAATGCTGGAGCACGCAGCTGGAGTGCGCAGCCCCAGCCCCTAAATCTCTTCTCTGGGCATGTAGAGCCACCGTAACTATTGTGTGTTCATCTCTTAGGTTGTCCGCACAGAGAAGAACAGCCTGAACAACCGGTTCCTGCCGTGGGATGAGATTGAGACGGAGGCCATCCTGTCCATTGATGACGATGCTCACCTTCGCCACGACGAGATCATGTTTGGGTTCCGGTGAGTAGCCTCCACGCATGTAGGCTTTAGACCTAAACTGATGTTTTCTGCATCCAGGGTCTGCCCAGGTGTAGCATGGCCTCATGGCTAAAGCTGGGGCCAAAATTAAGGCTAGCACATTCCTTCCTGTGGCTTTCCAACTCAATTTCTTGGAGGCGTAATAAGCGGTAATGAACAGTTTAATGAGTGCAGGCAGGTGGGCTGATTTCAGGTTGTCCAGGCAACCCTGATTCTCGTGCTTCCTAACCTTGACTCTTCAGCTTTTGTTGTGCTGACAACGTTCCCTTCATGGTTTTGGGAGCGTGTGGCTTCCTAGGGTGGAAGGAAACTGGAAAACAAATCCAAGAGGCTGTTGCACTCTATACTTCATGTGCCGTTGGCAAGGCCAGGACATTCGCAGCTGCTGCAGGACGTGATGCTCGTGTGCTCGCGGTAGACTGCCATCCTCTTTGCTCCGTGTGACATTGGGATGTGACAGCTATTTTGGTGGTTTTTTTCTGCAGAGCATGGAAAAGACAGATGTTACACAGAAAAGGCTGGTGCTGGTTGTTCTCATTCCCACCCCCTTTCTGCTTCAGTATCTATGTTTTCCCTTGACTTTGCCCTGGCAAAAAGTTTCCCAATTATGGGGCCAAGGGAGAAAGCAGTTATGTGGGCTTCTGCTGTGGGAGGTTTCTGCAGGCTGCTTCTGCAGCTCGTAGAGCGAAACCTCGCCGGCTGCCAAAGAGGTGCCGGGGAGTGAGGATGGCACGAGGAGAGAGCGCTGGCGCTTGTTTGGCTGCGGCTCATCAGCCCGCCAGCCCAGGAGCGGGGGCTGTGATTGCTAATCCGAGAGCACCCAGCAGCTGGCTGGGGGCGGGAGACGGGGACCAGCTCTCCACTCTCACCAAAACGTGTTGGCTCATGTTTGGGAGGAAGATTAAAAGGCACAAAATGCCTGGAAACCCAACAAGCTCTCTCTGAGAGATGACAAATGAGGTGTTAAAGTGATTAAAGCAGGGGAGTAGGCGTCAGGACTCCTGACTTTCCCTTCCATGCCCTGTTTCAGGCTCTTTATCTGAACTTGGCTGTTTTCTCCCCCTCTTTGGTCTCCGTTTTCCTTTGCTCATCCACAGCGCCTGGCTGAGGCTTTACCAGTTAGCCCTGGAGAGCATCAAATGAAAATTATAAGTGCCGCATATTATTCTCACTCATATCCCTGCTTACAAACACCTTGTTCCCGCAAAGTCTCCCTGTGTTAACGCATTCTGCCAGGGAAGAGACAGTGTCTCGGCAATTGAGTGAACCTCTGCCCATAACAACTGTGTTTTGTCGAAACTTTGCTTCAGGCTGTAATTCTTGGGGCAGGAGCCTCTTCTTGCTCTGTTTGCTGCTCAGGAGAGGGCTGGAGGCGGGCACCCCGAGCAAACCTTTCTGAGGAGCACACCCAAAACAATTCTCTGGAGAAATCCTTATTTTTCTGGCTGAGCTGGGAAGGAAAAAGTGTCATGTTCATAGGAAAGCGAGGCGTGGGAGAAGTGAAAGGGAATGAGTAGTTTCGACTCTGGCTTTTCAAAACAATCACGCTGGATTGACAGCAACCGCAGCAAATAAGTGCTTGCTGGGAGGATAGTGCCAGGGAAGCTGCTGGTGGTGTTAATTACTCAGTTTTCATTACCAGGTTATATCAGAGTTTCATTAATTTGAGTAGAGGATATAACAATAAACACATCTTTACTCCTGTCTGTGTCAGTAAGTGTAATGAAAGCTCAGGGCTCTTGGAAACTCAGTCTCTTCAGCAGCCCAGCATTGCCCTGCAGCCATTGCTTCTGTACCTCTCCATGGGAACAGGGGTTGTGGGAGGAACTCGCATGCACATGAGGGGAAAAAAGCAAAAAGGCCATTTTCTGCCCTATTTTGTGCCTGTGAAGAAGGGAAAAACCCTTCTGTGTCCAACAGGCTGCCGCCTGGGACTTGTTTCTTGTAGTCTGGAGTCACTTGGACAGGGAGATGGGATCAGATGATCCAAAGGAAGCTGGCACCCCTGTCAGTGGAAGCTGGCTGTATTTCCCAGGTTAGGCATTAGGCACTGACTTTGTTCTTAATTAGTCCTGTCAGTGTTGCAGCTATCCTGTGGGATTTTTCTCGAGGAGAGTGAGCTTCAGAGGAGAGCAGAATATTAAGCAAGTCCACGCTTTCACATGCAAACCTCACGATTTAATTCCCTATGGCTCAGCTGTGAGTGTGTGTTAGGGCGAAGGATGTGCTTATGGCCCCAGAGGTTTTTCCCATATGGACAGAGCCTGGGAAGCTGCTGGGTACTGGTTTGGAATGGGAAGCTGGCAGTTTGGCACTCCACATCCTCCATCTGGAGGCACCAGGGTCTTCAGCATCTCAGCAGCTTTCCTAAAGGGAGCTTGATGTTACCTCAGCTTTACAGAGGAAGAAACTGAGCTTGTGGGAGATGGAAAGTCCCAGGGATTTGGGGGAAGAGGCCAGGAGGTGCTGGGTTGCTCCCAGGCCAAGCCTTGGCTGCTCTGGCCTTTCCATAGAAGGGAAATAAGAGAGAAGCAGCGCTGGCGTATGTGTTGTGCGGTGATGCCCCTGCATGGGCTGCGGGAAGCTGGTGGCAAATCGAAGTTTCCCATCTTGCTGGATTTCCCTGTCTCTTTCTCTGCCTTTCCATCCGAGGTCTTATGTTTTCCATTCTCTGTGTAATTCAGAAACTAATTTTGGGCCACTGGGCTTTTTTGTTAGTTTTCTTTTAAACCTACAGAACAGCCCTTAGAATTTAGAAATGCCCTAATTTATGAGGTAGTAGCACTTTCCCTGTGAAAAAGCAACTTGAACATGCCTCTAGGAGAGGACCAAGGTGAGCAGCTCAGCTTTGTACCAAGCAACGTTGGTCTGTGCTTGGGAGAGCTGACCAAGGTGTGCTTCAGTTCACATCTAATAGCTCTTAACCTTTAACAAGAGAAGGTCAACAAATTCTGCCTGTCCATTAAAGGCAAGATTTCTGCATTCACCCCTTTCCTGCACTACAATAGGAAAGAAATCAGAGTTATCTCAGGGTGAGACCTTGTTCAGGTGTCACTCAGGCAGCTGTGACAGCCAGTCGGTCCCTCCCACCAACAGTGGAGCTTCTGTGCTGAGGAGGTGGGTGAGTTTGCACTGCACAGCCTATGTAAAAAGACGTCTTTTGCATGTTGGAATTCTCTTTATTTTTATTTTAAAAAAATAAAATGGACTTTAAAGCAAGGTAATTGGATGCTTTAACTATGTTAATCCTTTTTGCCCAAACTACAATGTATGTTGGCCGTTCTTTGGACGAGCAGTTGCCAAACTTTTTTATGTATAGGCATCTCTTATCACTTGCAGCCCCACCTTGGGATCTGGTCCATTGGCATTGAGGGCATAGTCCTGTGTGTAGTGGTTCTCAGCCAGAGCCGTGCTCATCTCCAGACAGGGTCCCCAGGTTTGTGTCTCACTGAAAGGCTTTGTGTTTGCAGTGTCTGGAGAGAGGCAAGGGACCGCATCGTTGGCTTCCCAGGGCGCTACCACGCGTGGGACATCCCCCATCAGTCCTGGCTCTACAACTCTAACTACTCTTGCGAGCTCTCTATGGTGCTCACTGGTGCTGCCTTCTTCCATAAGGTGAGATTTTGTCACCACAAAGCCCTGAGCTTTCCCTTCCTTCTCAGAGCAACCAGAGTCTGTATGTTTGTGGGGTTGGGTTTTGGGGTTTTTTTTTGTTGTTGTTGTTGTTGTTGTTGGGTTTTGTGGTTTGTTTTTTTTTTTTCCTAAAAAGAACACGTTTTGGAGCTCACGACTCCTTTTCCCTCCCTTTCTCCAAACTGAAACACAGCCAGCAACTGGTCTGTGTCCCAGCAAGCGGTCTCCTCGAGGAGCTGCCTATGCTTGTGCCATGTGAGAAGCACCACGGCACTGAAGCAGGTGGATGGAGACTGGGGCCAAGCGTGTTTCAGCAATGCTCTCAGTGAGGGCGAGGCGGGCCATGGGATTGCCTGCCATGCGTCTTTACTGCAGCATCTTTAACAGACTCAAAAGTGTTGCAATTTGCAGGGAAGTCATGGGTTTCTGCAGCTGCCTGGTGGCACAGGTTGGCTGGTAGGTGTGAGAGGTGGCTGGTTTCTTTTATGTTGGAAGGGAGCAGTGCCAGAAGTGGCTCTGTGATGTGTGCCTCTCTGTATGGGAGAGACAACAGTGGGCAAACAGGCCTTGAGAAAAGAATGGGCTGTTTTCCCAAGGGGAATGTCCTGAGCTGTCATATCACGGTGGGAATGTAATCCACCAGCTACTGCTGCCATGCTGACTCTGCAGCAGCAAAGACAGCAAGATCTGAGGGGGCTGAAACCGTTATTTCTCAACTTCAGAAGTTACAGGAGCCTTGGGACTTGGTCAGGGTGGTGGCTGTGGGGTAGATTTGCTGTGGCTACAGTAGATCTTCTGGATGCAGGATTAACTCCATTATGGGGAGTCTCTCCACTGGCGTCCTTGACCTCAGTCAGACATGTCCCAGCGAGTCGTCTTGATACTCACCTGTGGTGCCACGACTGCTCCAGGCCTGGTGCAGATGGCACCAGCGATGGTGGGCACTTGCTGCTTGGGACCACCTTGAGCAACGTTGTGCTTTTTATCCTTTCCCCAGTACTACGCCTACCTGTACTCCTACGTGATGCCGCAAGCCATCCGCGACATGGTGGATGAGTACATCAACTGCGAGGACATCGCCATGAACTTCCTGGTCTCTCACCTGACAAGAAAACCTCCCATAAAGGTAAAGCGCCGGGTGGACGCTTGTACTGGTCTTTGTATTTCTGGAGAAACAGTGGTTTGGTTGATGTCTCTGAAAGGCAAGAAGCATGTCAGGAGGCTGCTCTAGGGGAAATCCAGTTCCCTTTATCTCAGCGCAGAAGCTGTGCTGTGCAGTATGTGCTGCCCTTGCCAAAATCTGGCTGCACTGCCTCTCTGAAGTGCTGCATTGCAAGCGTGACATGCTCAAGGCTGTCAGCATGGCCTCTGGCCTCGAGGAGATGTAGTGTGTGTTCAAAAAGGTGTGAAAACTCACTGTAACCCCTTAGAAGCAGTCAAATCCCTGCCATGGCAAGCAGATGAGTTGGGGTTTGACTTACACTGCAGCTCAGACTGGAGGGTTTCCTGGCTTAGCAAAGGCCCTTCTGAGCCTTCCTTCCCAAAAAGGAAAAATTTCTGTATTTCCATAACATACAGCACAAGTAGGAATGATTTTCTTGCTGATTTCGTGTAGCTTTCCAGAGACATTTAGACTTATCTGTGTGCGGAGGGCTGTTGGTCTAAACACTGCAGCCTAGCTGAAATATTCCTGCCCAGTGATAACAAATGTATGTCACAATTTTGAGCATGAATTTTGGATGCAGATCATTCTGCTCTTTATTGCTGCTGGCAAACTGGTCTTTACAGCCCTGCATATGTCTCACTGTCGCAGGCCAGCTGCCTTAGAGATGGGTCTTGGCCGTAAATACGATGGGTGGGTTTTTCCGTGTGGTGTTCTTCCCATCTGGAGCTACTATGAAGTGGAGGTTGTAGAGTTTGGTGCAGCTGAGAGGAGAATCAGACCAAAACCAAAGGGTACTGCAATGGGATGTCTGATGTCTGATTCAACATGGACAGGAGGCCCTTTAATCAGTGGGTGGCCCCTCAGCACCTCCTGAAAACAGGAGCCCCCTCCAAAGATTTTCCTCTGGGTGCCTAAAACAAGAGACACCCCAAATTGCTAATTCTTCTGTAGCATCTGTGGCCAGCGGGTCAAGGGAGGGGATTCTGCCCCTCTGCTCCGATCGGGTGAGACCCCACCTGGAGTCCTGAGTCCAGCTCTGGGGTCCTCAGCACAGGAGAGACATGGACCTGTTGGAGCGGGTCCAGAGGAGGGATACAAAAATGGTCAGAGGGCTGGAACACCTCTGCTGTGAGGACAGGCTGAGAGAGTTGGGGTTGTTCAGCCTGGAGAAGAGAAGGCTCCAGGCAGACCTTACAGCAGCCTTCCAGTACCTAAAGGGGCTTGGAAGAAAGATGGGGACAGACTTTTTAGCAGGGCCTGAAGCGATAGGACAAGAGGTAATGGTTTTAAACTAAAAGAGGGGAGATTCAGACTAGATATAAGGAAGACATTTTTTATGCTGAGGGTGGTGAGGCGCTGGCCCAGGTTGCCCAGAGAGGTGGTCGATGCCCCATCCCTGGAACCATTCAAGGTCAGGTTGGACGGGGCTCTGAGCAACCTGATCTGGTTGAAGGTGTCCCTGCTCATGGCAGGGGGTTGGACTGGATGACCTTTAACGGTCCCTTCCAACCCAAACCATACTGTGATTCAATGATTCTATCTGTAGTCTGTGAAAGGAAAGGAGTTGGTTTCTCAAGGTCTTTTTTTTCCTGAAACAGCTTCTCAAACATAAAACCAGAAAAAAGTAACTAAACATTAGTAGATCATCATGTCCCCCCCTTAAGTCTCTGCTCTGACAGAGCTGATGTGGACCATGTCCTTCCTTGCCTGGACACCCTCCAAGGGACACGTGGCAGCCAGGGAGAGCACGGCCAAATCTGTGCCCGGTCTGCGGCATGTCACGCAGGACGTCAAGCCAAGTCCCCCCACGCAGTGCCTTGGGCACAAGCAGGGTGTTCCCCCCGGCTGCGGGGTGTTGCAGGCAAACGTGTCAGCGACCATCTTTGTCCCTCTCATTCCAGGTGACCTCCCGCTGGACTTTCCGCTGCCCCGGGTGCCCCCAGGCACTTTCGCACGATGACTCTCACTTCCACGAGCGACACAAGTGCATCAACTTCTTCGTCAAGGTGTACGGGTACATGCCCCTCCTGTACACCCAGTTCCGTGTGGACTCGGTCCTCTTCAAGACCCGCCTGCCCCACGACAAGACAAAATGCTTCAAGTTCATCTAGAAGCGGGCGGCAGCCGGGCGCCCTCGGCTCTCCGAACTTCAGCCGGAGGCGGGTGAGGGCAGAGGGTGGCTTTCCTGATGGGGCTGTGAGTGCAAAACACCTTTTGCTATTGACTCTGGCCTCCCTCCCGCGGAGCAAAAGGGACGTCCTGGATTTGGACGGGCACGTTTTCCCCTCCCTTCCCGCTCTCCCCACAGCACCTCGACTGAGCGACAGGGAACAGGATCTCACGGCTTCTGTAAAGACACTGCCTAGGATCGTACACTGAGGAATGGTGTGTTGGCTAGTAGCTCTGCCCCTTTGCTAGCCAAGGGCAGCCATTCTTTTTAATTATAATTATTGTTATTTAAAATGAAAGTGTTTTAGATTTGCCGCGTGAGGCTTTTTTTTTTTTTTTCCTTTTCTATTCTTCCCTCCACCCTACCCACCCTGTTTTCCCCTCTGGAACTGTCTGCCCGCTTGAGGGGGACTGTAGCAAGGCCAGGTTGGAGGTGTTTGACTGCAGAGAGGTTATTCCCAGTATCAAGGCAGCTTTTCTCCCGCGGGGCAGCCCTTCTCCTCCCCTCCCGCGGGGCAGCCCTTCTCCTCCCCTCCTGCATACCATGTCCTGGCTCGTCTTGCCCTGTGGCTACTACTGAGGACTTTCAGGTGTTGGCTGGTGATGAGCTCTTTGCTCTGCTCTGCTCACCACCCTGAGCCCTGCCCTTGGAGAGGGGCGAGCAGGGAAGAGGTTGGCCCCGGAGGGTCTTTTCCCAGCTCCCAGCACTGCACCAGGTCCCGTGTCACAGCCCTGGGGGAGTTTGGTTGCCGCGGTCTCATTCTCGGTGTCCTTTTTCCAGCCCACGCGGCACACTGCAGGTGCTGCTAAACCTCTGAAGACAGGGAGCACGTTTGGGGCTTGGGAGTGATCCATCTGCAGCACAGCAGGGGCTAGCAATGCCCCAGGCTCGTGCGTTCGAGCAGGCTGCCTTGGCCTGCGGTTTTCTACAGCCGCTGCAGCACCAAAGGCAGCTGCGAGAGCCCTGGAGAGCTGCTCCGGCAGCACTCCGAGATCGGCTGCATGAGCCTTTGCTGAGAAAATAAACCTCTTCCCCAGAAGCATCCAAGCGTGGACGCAGTCTGCCGAGAGTCAGCTCTTCGCAGTGCCCGGTCGCTGCAGGGGGAGCAGGCACTAGTTCAGCTTTCAGCGCTGGTGCGATGGCAGTCGGGATATCGGGGCCTTCTCTTGAGATCGCTTCGCATTTTTGCAGAGTGGCGGAAGGAGAAGACACTGAACCCTTAATCTGTACGCAGATAAGCAGAGCACCAGCCCAGCCTGCCTGTGCCGGAGCTGGGGCTGCACTGTGGGCCGGAGTCCCTGCTCTGCCCCGTCCCCCATCCCAGGACGAAACGTGCCCACGTCAGGTTTGCCCGTGGGCCTCAGCGTAACTGCCTTAAACCCCCATCCCGTCCACACTCATGCCATGGCCTCGGGCTGCGTTCGAAGGTTAATCCAGCCAAGGCCTTTCCTTTGCGTGAACTGGGAGACGCTGCTGGGATTGCCTTCACGGGGCTGTTTTCGGAGTTGGTGTCTCCCACCAAAGCGAAACGCCGTCACGTCCGTGTGATCGCCCGACCTCTGCGCTCAACTCGCTGCTCCGTTCTGCTTCAATCCTGGCCTGTAAGAAGAGGGAAGGACACAGGTTGCCCTCTCTTGTGTGATGTTCTCCCTCAGTGCATCCCAGATGTTTAAGAGCAGCCTGGAGAAGCTCTTGCTGGGTAGATGGTGATTCACCTCAATGTCCCCGGTTTTCCTGGCCTGACTTCCACTGTGGCAGGTTGCAGCTCAGCATCCCGGCACCCTGCAGCAGAAGGATGTTACCACCTGGTTGTGTCCCAAAAGAGGAGCAGCGGGGATGGTCCATCAGCAGCTCCTGGGCTCACTCGTAAGGTCAGCCCTGTCCCCACTCCTCCCCTGCAGCCTGCACCACGTTTTTGGGGTGTTACATGGCCTCTCCAGCTGTGCTTCAGCCAAATTTTCATGTCAGCCCTGTGGGTGGGGGTCACCGACACTTGCTCCTTGGTAAGGGGAAGGGAAGGGGCAGCCTGTCCCCAGCAGAGCCAACAGCTCGTGCCTTCACCAGCACTACAGACCGCACCGAAATACGATCAAGGTGTCTTTTCCTCTCTGTATGTTTTTTTTTTCCTTTCCACTCTCTTTTTGTTTTAACATCAGGTGCTTGAAACGGAGCATGTGAAGGGTCAGTCTCTTGAGAAATGCAACTGGAGACTCCTGTGAGGCCCTGAAACACCTGGAAGGATGTTTTCTGCCCCTGCTCAGAGTGGAAATGTGGCACTCTTCAGCAACTGCACCAGCTTCAGCATCCCTGAGGGGCCTGACACTCCTCTGCTTTAATTCTCCCCTCATTAACAGGTGGTTCGTTACCAGCGATGCGGTCGCTCACCTACAGCACAGGTCCCTGGTGTCATCCAAGGGTGGAGGCAGCTCTGCCTTCCCCAGCCCTCTGCCCACATGGCAAGAGTCAAAAGGGAGTAAGGATGGATGCCAGCAGCTGTGGATTGCACTTTATATAAACAGAGATACGCTTCTCGGCAACTTGTTTTGAAAAAACCTTAAGGGGAATTTCGTTATTCTGGTGAGAGACAGTAATACAGGGAGCTTGGAAAAGGGGGATGTGATGTGAAGTATTTGCGTTGGGGTTTGCTGTCTCATTGCTTGGCTGCAGTCAGAGCTGGCAGCTGACCCAAGGTTGGGGGTTTCATCCTTTCCGTTGGTGCGTTTCAGTTCAAGACCAGTAGAAATGGAGAGATCAGTGGTGGAAATCCAAATTCTTGTTCTTCCCAGGCTCTTGACGCGCTCAACTCTTGCTTGAAGTGTTGGTTTTTTAGGAGGATTGCCAGTGCTGTGGTAGCCAGGGGTCGGGTTCAAAGTGTCGTGGTTGTGTGGGGAGAGGCTGTGTGACGGGATCGCTGTGTGGGTTGTGGGTCGGTTTCCTCCTTGCTGAGACCCCCAAAGGGGGACGATGTAGGGGGCGAAGGGGTAAACAGGTGCTGGGAGTCGCTGACGGCAGCTGCTTGGGGGGGACACGCTGGGCAGCAGCAGCGTTGGGAGGGATGGGGTGCCATAAAGAAACTAAAAGCCAGCGAGAGCATCGCCTTCCCCACCTGCAGGGCTGGTGCTGTCCCTCCTGGTCCTCTGCTGCTGTGGCTCTTTCCGAAATCTTCCCAAATAGCCCCCAAAACCCCTCCGGAGTACAGACCCGTGATTCACAACCCGACTTTCTGCTCCTGAGACATCCCTGGATCTGAGCTGTCCTTAGGCTTCCCTCCACCATCAGGGAGGAGAGGGGCATTTCTGGAGAGCGGTCCAGCCCCTGCCACTGTCCCCAACATCCTCCCTTGCTACCTGTCGCTCTCCTGTGATTTTCAGGGGGTCCCAGGGCAACTCCGAAGCTCAGGTTAGGTTGTACGATTCATCCCAGCTCCAGCACAGAGCAGCCTGGGGCGCGTGATCTCCGCCACCCCAGCCTCGAGGAGAGGGGAAGGTCTCTCGGTGGTTGCACCTTTCCCAAGGAAAAGGCCTTTTCCCCTTTCCAACATTTCTGCCGCTTCACCCAGCACCAGGGGTTGCAGGCGGCAGGTGCGGAGCGAGGTCTTTTTCACGTTTGCTGTAAATAGCATCGTCTGCGGTGACGCGGACCCCCCCCGTACCCCATTCGTGTCGCACAGCCCCTGCCCTCCCCTGCGCCGTGGTTGTGCTAACTGCTCTGTGAGCACCAGGTTTGAAAAAAAAAAAAGGCAAAAACTGAGAGAAAAGAAACAGTCCTTCAACACGAGCACAATGTTGAGTTTTTTTGTAAAAGGATCCAATAAATGGAGAGTTTAACTTGAGAGCGTCTCCGTGCCTGCTTTGCCGGGGGCTGGGACCGGGACAGGGCTTGCAGCAGCAGTGCTGCTCCATGGTGACAGGGCTCCCCGAAAACAAGCCTCTCCCCAGGCTTGCACTTCCCGAGGGAGCAGGGGCAGGTGAGCTGGTCCGGAATAGCGGAAACCCCTCGGGGATGGCAGTGTCTGGTGCAAAACCCCGTCACATCCCTGGGTGAGGTCGTGGCTGGGCCAAGAGAGTCCCCCCAGTCCAGCCCCAGGGGGGTTCAGAGCCCTGCGTAACTTCACGGGACATCACATCCCAGCCACTACGGGGACAGAGGGCTGCTGGTGGCACTGGGGACATCTAGCCAGGACGGCAGACCCGGGGGAGGCGGAAACCCTTCGATTTCTGCATTGCTGATTTAAATCACAGCCAACCAAAAAGCACCTTCTCCAGAGCCCTGCTCCGCTTGCAGGATCCGGCCCTGGGGCCTCTGCCCTGCAGTGTGATGCTGAAAGCCACCACGGCATGAGTTGTCTGGGTATTTCTAGGCAATGAAAATGGCAGCTGAGCCGGCGGTGGGGTTGCAAACCTTCCCATCCCTGCCTGGGATCCTGGAAGAAGGAAATTTAGGGGCCACTTCCTACAGCGCTCGCAGGCATCGCTGGCTTGGGGAATGCTCCCGGTCCCTCTCCTGTGGAGGCTGAGGTGGAAAAAACAACCAGGTGGGTGTGATTTCTAACCAGATTTCCACCAGCTTCAACCCTACAGGGAGGAGCGGACGAGCGGAACAGAGCTGGCTGTGCCATGGGCTTCCCTTTCCATGCTGGGATGGAAATCCCGCAGGATTTCCTGGACACTGCTGGATTTCCTCTCTTTCCTTTTCTGCTGCTTTTTTTTCGCCTTTCTTCCTGAGCAGCTGGCTTCCTCCGTGGACACTTGTTCATCCCTGTGGCACCTGCCCTTGCTGCTGTTCCCCTGGGAAATGTGCCCTTTATTTTCCCTACTGCCTTGGAGTAATGGCTCATCCATAATGGGAGTGTTTGTGCTTAGTTTTATTTCCAGGATAGGTTTCAGGGAAATCCCAAATTATTTTGATCCCAGAAGGGAGAAGGTGGGTGTTCTGCCCGGGACCTGCCTCCCAAATGCCTGGGGTCTGTCCCCAAAATATTGCTGGGAGGCAGGGGCATTGCTAACAGCGTTAAGGGCACAGAAAACCACACTCAAAGGCACTGACCTGGCTGCAGTGGTGAGACGCTGTTTTTTGGGGGGGGGGGGCTGGCTCCTCGATGAGCCCAGCAACATCTTGGGCACTGGCTCGACCATAGCAGATTTGCTCGTGAGGCTTTACCAGCCCTTACACAGCAGATAAATATCTCCTGTTAAAGCAAATAATTTTTACAGCTGTAACTAATGTGACCTTGGTGAGACCAGTCACAGCATCATGGTTCCTGTTTGGTTTTCTTTTTTTCCCTATAGGAGGGTTTGTACCTTGGGATGGAGGAACAGGCACTGGGGAGAGGTGGAGGAGGGGATAAATCCCCCTAATAATTCATTCCCTTCTACCACGAGGGAGGGCAGCGGGGAAGTGCTTTACACTCCACTCCCCTACGCTAAATTTTTCCCTTTCAGATGACACATTCCTTGATAAAAAGCAATTATTTCACTGAAATTGCTCCCTGTGTTTCTGTTCTGCCCATCAGTGCCATAAAAGCAACCAGCTCCTGCAAAAGCCCAGGTAAAGGACCTGCAGTCACCAGCGTGGATGCTTGCACCCTCCCATGGCCCTGCCTTACACCCCAGCCCCACTGAGACAGGCAGGAAGAGGGAAATTACCACCTGGGGTTTTTTCCCAGCTGGAAATGCAAGAAAATACTCCTGCAGGGCCAGGCACCAGCGGCATCACAAAGCCGAGGGTCACATTGGGTCCATCATTCCCAGGTTAATTAGGTGACCACTTTTCCACCCATGGGCCAGGGCAGCGAAGGTACCACGACATTGCTTTCCTGTTTAAAACAAACAAAAAAGGCTTAAATTCAACAGCGTGGTCATGTGGGGAGCAGGACTGGCAGGGAAAGGGGAGCGCTGGTGCTGTGGGGGCATTATAAATCCCTACAGCCGTATAATTTCTGAGAGTGCATCACTGGGCCAGTGCTAAGCGATGTGCAGGATTTATACATCTGGCTTGCTCCCTGTGATGGGCTGTGAAAGATTTTAGGAAGAAAAATGGGATTTTACCCCCAGTGTTTTAAGAAGTTATTCTGGAGCAGTTAGCAGTCTGAAAAGCAAAGAGCTGCTGCATTTCCACGGGTGCCCAACACCCAGCGAGGGTCACCCAACCACCCGCCGTGCTCCTTGGGTCCTGCTTTTAACCCCGGGGCAACGGCACTCAGCTGCAGTGGAAATACAAAGCTGGAATAGAACAGAACAGAGTAGAATACAGTAAGAATAGAATAGAACAGAATAGAATAGAATGGAGTAAGAAAAAAATAGAATCAAATGGAGTGGAATGGAATAGAATAAAATGGAATGGAATGCAATAGAATAGAATAGAACAGAGGAAGAATAGAATAGAAGAGAGGAAGAATGGAATGGAATATAATGGAATGGAATAGAGGAAGAATGGAATGGAATGGAACATTTTCAGTTGGAGGGGACCTACAAGGATCACCTAGGCCAACTGCCTGTCCACAGCTGACCAAAAGTTGACATGTATTACTACTTAGGGCATCAGTTGCTCTGGTCTTGGCTTAAACCCCCTGGGCGAAGCAGGGTTTTTCCCACGGTGCAACCAAATGGCTGCAAAGAGGTAAAGAAGGAATTGGGAAAGTGAACCAGGCAGTTAGCACCGCCGCAAAGCACCTGCAGCCACCCAGCAAATGCATGTGCTGGGCCGATGGCAGCACTCTGTAACTTAGAGGCTCAAAATAGTAAATACTAAGAGCAGTCAGAGGGAAATGAGCAGTTATTAGCCAGGCAATTAATAAAAGACCTATGCTGCACTCAGTGTTGTGCCTGCAAGGGAAGGATAATTGTCACTGTTCATTTTAACCCGCTAAGTAATTTAATGTAGTAAAAAAAAAAAAAAAAAAAAAAAAAAACAACCCTCAATCAAGCGTCACTAGTCTTTGCGAATGCCTCCCTGGAGCCCAGCTCTGCCCTGGGGATGCAGTGAGTCCTGGAGCAGCACTATGGCACAAAACCAACAGGCTTTTTTTTTCCTTTTTCCTTCAAGAATAAAAAAAGAGAAGTGAGGTGTGACAGCCCTTCCTACCACCTTGGTTTTAAAGCCTTTTGGATGCTCTCCTTGCAGGCGTTTCTTGGCAGAGGGCCCTGCTTTCTTCGTAGCTGGTTTTTAAGCTCTCACTCTGCACATGTTTTGCTGCCAACATGATAATAACAATAATTAAAAATAAGACAAGTTGCGATGTCTTTGCATATGGTTGGGCTTCTCCATGTAGCACCACGCAGCATGGGGCTGCTTTGCTCTGTCCCTCACCCTTTTTGTTACCGAGTAGCTATTAATATCAAGAAAATAATAATAATGCAAAGTTTTAACAAGAGGGAGGCCAGTGCTTGCACCTTTGGTTATTGCTGCAATAGGACCCAGCTGGTTGTTAGAGGCTTTCTCACCAGGGAGTTCATCACACTGCATTATGTCCTGCCTCAGGACACGCACTGGCGTACCTTTAATTACCCACGCCAGCCTGGTCTCACCACACTCGAGATGGAAACATCAGCCCTCCATGTGCTCAGGGGCAAGGAGAGGAACGTGTCCTAGGGACACTCGGGGACAGCCAGTGATAGAGCCAAGGGAGAGAAAAGATGGAGGAATAACTTAATTTTTTGCTGTAATCGAGGCAAGGAGCGTTTAATTGTTTAACCCTGCCAGTAAAAATGCAGCAAACTGATGCCCTGACTTCTGAAACGGGTTTGGGAAGATCGCTGCCTCGTAGGGCTGAATTTTTCTCTCTTGATTTAGGAGCCTGCTATGTCGCATCAGCTCATGGGATGGATGCAGGATGCAGCCCCACGATCCTTGACCCTAATGAAGCCTTGCCCAGGGCGTTATCTGCCACTGGTTCCTGGCCAGGGCTGCCCTGTGCTCCCAGGCAGCGCCCCATGGCCCCCAAGTGTCCTCGTGGAAGAAATACTGTGTCCCCATGGGCGAGAAGCCCCTGCAGCCCACAGAGCTGCCTCCTCGGAACATGGGTCCCCACGCCGTGCCCAGGAGAGCCCCAAGGTCATAGGGAGCGACTTGGCTTGTTCCTTGTGGGCCACAAGACTTGGTGACAGGTCCCCAGAATGACGGGGCCCAGGCAGTGGGTTTCAAGCAGTAGGTCCTAAGTGATGAGTCCGAGACCATTGGTCCCAGGTCCCCAAGGGATGGGGGGGGGAGGGGGGGGGGGTCCCAGGTAATGGGGAAACGGGGACCTGTTTGATCTGACTTACCTTCTTCTTTGTGAGCCTACCTGGGCCATGTCGCGCAGCTGAACACAAACCCCGCCGCACTCAGCTTCCCCGTTCCTCCTGAAGGCTGAGGTGCTGATGGGGCACGGACCCCACATCTTGCTCCAGCTCCCCTCAGGTCGTCGTGTCCAAGTCCCCAAGGTGGTGACCGCGGTGTGGCTCAGGGCACCCGTCGGGTGGCATCAGGGCCAGCGGATCCCCAGTGACACTGACTGTGTCCGGGCACGGTGGGGGAATAGCATGAGCCTAGAAGTAAATGACTTGGTGCAGTTGTTTTTATTAAGGCTCACATTAATAGAAAGAAAACACAATATACTTCTCTCCATCCAGGAATATCTGTTCCATAAAAGCCATCCAAGTGCAGAAAGCTGATTTTAACCTTTTCTCTCCATTATTCCCCAGCCCAGTGATGCAGCCCTGTCTGCGCTGGAGGAGCGCACAGGTTGGGAATTGCACTGAGAATTAATCACTTGCCAAGGGCCAAGGTGCAGCCCAGCAAAGCAGCTGCTTAAGAAGCAGCCCAGCTGCAAACACCACTATTTGTGTTTAATTAGGGGAGCTGCAGAGAGAGGCCGGTGAAGCACAGCACAGGATGTGGGACTCCCACATCACACATGGTCACCGGGACTAGGGACGGCCATGGCACAATGAACATCGCATGGTGGCCAAGGGGATTTCTTTTTCATTTCTAGAAGAAAGAGAATGAAACCAAGTACCTTTGCTCTTTGTCCATTAAAATGTGCATTTCTGGTTAAAATGTATTTGCCATCCATCGTATTCCACCCCCTCTGTTCACAGCTCTGCTGGGCTGCCATGGTTACCTCTCCAGGACTGACCCAGCCTGAAGAAATGCTATTTATTTTAATTTCTCTGTGCCGAATGAACAAGCACTTATTTTTGTTAGTTTAATTAAGATTTTTCATTAAAGAATCCCCCCTGGTATGTTTATTTTTCCAGCAGGCACAATCTTTCCCTTTGTAAGAAATGAATCAGTTTTCAGATGCTGGACTGGAGCAGTAAGAAGTCCTCCTCCCCAAAATGACAAGAACAAAAATGTAAAAACTTTTAAACTTATTTTTTTTTCCCCAGGAGGGTGGGAAAGCCATTAGCTACCCTCAGCATGGCTGTTACTGGTAGGAGTCAGAGCTTTGCACCTCAGATGATAAGGCTTTTGGTATGACAGCCCAATTGCATCAGTTGCCTTTCAGTAGTGAACCAAGCTAAAAACTAACTGTTGAGCCTGAGTACATTTCTACTCCTCTTAATCAGCACAGCAGCCCACTCCCAGCCCCAAATTACCTTCAAACCACTGTGCTTTTAATACGACTTCCACCGCAGCAGCTTTCAGATGTTAAGTCTCAAGGCAGCCTGCAAAGGAGGATGGTACAATTTCTATTTCATGTAAGAGGAAAGCGAGGCACTGCTCCAGGAACATGTCCGAAATCATCCATCAGAAGCAAGACTAGATTGACTCTCCCTGGTTCTGTCAAGTTAGGCAGCACTGAGAGATTTCCATGGGGGGCCGAGAGCAGCAGGGTTTATTTGGGCCAATTATACACTAGTCACACCTGTGGAGTAGCTATTGTGGTCGATACAGGCTGTCTCACTCCTCACATTTAAATATTTCCTTAATACCTTGAGATCAGTAAAGCCTCTCTAACCTGTCTGTCTGTATAACAAGGCCATGCTGGATGAGTACATGAGGAGGTTATTCTCCCCTGGTGTGCAAGGCTGGTTGGACTGCATAACTTCAGCAAAGACAGCAAATCTCTCTCGTCTTCTCACCCTCGTACACCTGCAGAGTCAGAGACACAGAGCTCGATTGAATCTTTTACGTCAGTGAATGCGCAGCCCTGTTACTGCAGGGCTCCGTGTCATATAACCACACAAATGTCACAGAAACGTCCCCGTGTGTCTCAGCACCCGGCTAGTTCAGCTCTTGGGTTCTGGCTCAAGGGAATCATCCTTACTACAAGGAGCTACAACTTGGCTCTACCCCAGCCGAGTTCTTGACTCTTTGTAGATGGGCTTTAATGCTTCTTGCTCCTTGGGTCCTGGGAACTGAGCTCTCAGAGCCCGTTTACTGCCAGGGAGTCGCAGCTCCGCTCATCTGTACCCACGTGGCCTCTAACAGTAGTTTGGTGAGGGGACAAGTCCCAGGCCAGAGCCCATGCTGACCCAAAAGCTTGGTGGAGCCAAGCTGGGAGGGTCAGCCGTGGTTCAGAAGCACAGCATCACACGGCTGTAATGAGGGGACGGCAGCATGGTTCATAAGCAGCCATAAAGTGCTAATTACTGAATTTGCTTCCCCTTCCCCAAAAGACATCAGCAAAAACAGAGGAATTTCGGGTTTGTGGTGTACCTTGGCTGTGCCAGCAAACTGATTTCTTCCTTGTTCTTTGCCCCAAAACAAGCTCTTCATGGTGAATTGTTACACCTGCTGATCGCTCCCGCAAGGTCCCCCGTGACTCCTCCATGGCAGCACACTGACTCGGATTTCCTAATACTCAGTTACTCAAGCACAGCCTTCGCCAAGCAGAAACTACTGCCTTCGTGGTCTGCCCACCGACACGCCGCTGGACCGCCTGTGCTCAGCCAAGGCAGATGCAACGAGCGCTAACACACAGCCTCGGGTCCGGCTTCTTAAAGCAACAAGTGAAGTCCCTTATAATTATAAATGCAAATGAGTAGATTCACAAAATGAAGGCTCTGGAGCACTGGCACCAAAGCTGCAGCTGGTCTAGGTAACAAGCAGAAAGACGCTCTCGAGGACTCCTATATTACAAGGCCCACTCTTCCCTCTCCTCCTGCCTCCTCAGCTCAGCTGAATTTATCACATGGCCTCTGCGTGTTAAGAATAATCTTTCTGGAGATTTAATTACAAGATGATAAAGAAGCTGAGCTACTGCAAATGTTGTAAACTCTTATGAGCATTAATGCTACTGCAGCGAGTTTTTTATCACATTAATGATACTATTTCTCTCACGCCCATGACATACACACAAAGCAAAGGCATGGATGCTGGAGTCTGTACATCCAATTGAACAGAAATCTTTCATGTGTATGAAATGTGATGTGGAAACTGCAATAGCAAATAGTTTTCATTACAGAGCTGTTCTTCCACTGCCTTAATCTCCCCAAATCTATAAACTGAAGGAGTAGTTATATTTTACAAATGTGTACATACATACACAGGCGGATATGGAATAGGCATGCAGATGCTTTTATAAACCACAGAATGTGCTTCCTCCTTGGCAGTCTTACTATGCTTTTTATTTTTAACACCAAATAAATACAAAACAATCCAATAAAAAACAAACAGCAGTAAATCTGAGAAATTGGTCGCTTTTAAAAGCAATACTATTAACTAAGTTTAGGCCCCAAATATATGGTTTTGGGAGTGAAAAACCTCCCCAGGTCTGCAGTACAGATAGCTTTGTATAAATGACTCAGTACTTCAACCAGGATTTGGGATTGTCGGGGCTGAAAGGACAGGTTTTTGGAAGGTAGAAACAAAAGGCACTTAAATCTAAAAGGTTTTTCGTAAGCACTAGGAGTTTAACTACTTTATGTACTTTTGAAATATCTTCCTGAGATATCTTTTGCGTGTCTCAGTGAAGAGCCTAGAACTAGGTGGACAAATCTGGTCGTAATGGGTGAGGGTGCAAGCATCAATAAACACTTTGCATTGCTAAAGCATACAGCTTTTCCAAAATCCCTCTGCTTTTCCAGGGAATGGCCAGGCTCTTGCCGCTTCGAAGCTATTCTACATGTCCAGCATAGCCCCCTTTTTCTACTTCTATTTTTGTCATCTTTGCCTTACCAGCTTTCTCATTCCCCTTCGTGCCAGTGAAATACATGTCTACAAATGTAGATGGAGGACAGACAGGAAATTGGATCTGGTGACCAGGAAGAAGCAGTGGGGAGAAAAATAAATCTCTTAATATCTAAGGCCATTGTTTCAATATTCCTACAGAGTTTTCTCAGGTAAAGGACTGGGGCATACATTGCTGAGAGGGTCACACAGAGAAATGTCTGCATTTCACCCTGACCTTGTAAATATACAGTCTACTTATTTACTCTGCAGTTCCTATCTCCTATAAGATTACAACTCCCAATTTTACAGAACAGGAATCCCCTCCAAAGTATTCCAATACCAGTTAAAAATAAAATTTTAAAAATAGATAGATATTAAAAATACTTCCTTGCTTCTCCATGAAGGGGAAGGTGGTTTCTGGTCTCTCTGAATCAAGAAGTTCTCTTTCTCTCCCTGAGGTCACCCTCTGGAAAGCTCTTAGCTCTGGTGCTCTGGGGTCTTTCCTTGCAGAGCAGCATGATGTCCATGAGCTAGAATTTCTGCAGGAATTTGAGAACCAGGTCACGCAGTTTCACCCTCAAAGGTTCATCGTTGTCGCAGATGATGTGTGTGGAGTCCTCCTCAATCTGAATGAGGGTTTCTGCCTCCTGGAGGAGTACGATGTGGCCCTTAGCTGTATCCTCCACCTTCACGTCACTGAAACCATGCTAGATGTAGTGTTGGGGAGGGAATAAGAAAGAGATGTTACTACAACTCAGGAAAACAGGCAGAGATGAAAGACTGGGGCACAGTGAGGAGGAGAGGGGAGAATGGCTACGAAATACAGAGTGCCACTGCAGATACCCTAGATATCTGGGATCTGCAGAGGAAACACGCATAGGCTAAGCTAAATATGACCCTCATCATACAGATGGATAAACTATAGAACAGGGAAGCTAAAGCCAACATTTTCCACTACATCAGGTCACTGCATGTGCAAAATCTTGAGAGACAAAGAGGACAAAGGGCTCCTTTAACTGCAGAAATGACCATCTGCTGCCATTACTGCCTCAAAGATGATAGCGGAGAGCTACTGAACCCCAGGGCAAACTTCCTTACAGACAATCCTGCCCTTTTTCCTTCTAATTTTCTCCAAGGAGTCATGCAGGTGAGAACAGGGCTCCACAGAGCAGTAACCAATGGCTTGCAAGTTCAGCCACCAAACCCCCTGTCCTGCAGCTCCCCAGAAAGCTTCTCCATCAGTGGAGACATTTCCAGGATCTCTTCTTCACTTGGTCACGTCATTTTCACATAACTTGTAGGAACTTATATTTTTGAGATCTCCTCCCCACTGTTCAAATTTATGGGAAATCAGCTGCTGAGTCCAAAAGTTACATGGGGGAAGTTCACCCACCCAGAGTGACCCCAAAAGCTCTGCTTCCACAGGAAACCAGGAGGACATGACTGGCATGAGGACCCTATATCAGGAATTGCCTCCACAGGGAACTATTCCCTCCATACTCAGTGCAGGGACACATTCCCTAACGTACTTTGCTAGCTCATTAGCCCCTCTCCATTTCAAGCCACACTAAAATTATTTTCCCTCTCTGCTAACAAAGCAGCACATTTCTGGGATTAGTAAAAATCTGCTTGAACCTCACTTGCCACCAAAAACTTATTACCTTCTCGAGTGTCTGCACAAACTGGTCCACAGGAATGGAGCCGCTTAGCAATGGCTTCAAAGGTTTACACTCCGGCACGTCATCACTCACTCGCTTTCTCTTCTTGCTGGCGGGAGGTTGCGGAGGTTTTGGAGGGAGCTAATGGATGAGAAGGTGCACAGTAATGCAGTGAATCACATCAGCCTATTATAATTTAGTTGGAATAACAGGTACATGAGATAGAAAAGGAATACTGATTTTGTTTTCTGTGACTAAAAGGGAACATTGCAGTGCTGAAGAAGAGAGGAGACACCCAGCCTTGGGCTCCACTGCAGCTCTGCACACACAAGACACCACATACAGAAATAAATTAGCAGTTTTAGTTCAAATCTCTGTCATCTTAAAATTTCTGTCAAATTCAGTTCTGTTCAAATTTCCGTTACCTTAAAAGGCCTGTCTGACTCAATTCAAGACTGAAACTTTCCATTTTAGCATTCAAGTTCTCTGCAATATTTTCTAGGAATCAATGCCTTAAAGAAGTCAATGCCTTGAAAATTACACTCTAAAAGATGCAACAGGTTGAAAAACAGGCAAATTCAGAGCAGTAGCTACTCAGGGAATGAGAAAAACAGGTAATCTATTTCTCACTGGCCTCAGAAAAGTGAGTCTTTAGGAAGAACTTGAATACAGACAGGGAGGCGCGAGAGATGCTGCAGTGCCTGAAAAATCACTGGAGTATGATCTATGTATAATTTTGTCCTGCTTCAGAAAGCTATTTGCCTTAACTCACACCTGAGACCCTTCTCTGTTAGCAAGGAGGGGGAGGCAGGGTTAGCACATGCAGCAGTAGCTAACCTGGCACTGTGCATTGCTGCGCGTGGGGGCAAGGTGTGGGGTTAACTAAGCACTTCTGAAAGACCATTTCATGGAGATGAAAACCAGATTCCTACAAAATAACCAGTGAGGGAATTATCGTGTAAAGTAAGTCTATGTGTCCTGTGCCAAGTTAGTTAGGTCAGGGAAGTGTCACTGCTAGTCTTTCCCAGTGAACTAGCAATTCAGTCCCTGGGAAAAAGGAGCTGGGGAAAATTTCTCCAAAATTTTGGCAAGACCATTTGCCAGAGATGCGTCTGCACAACACACAGGGAATTTGCCTGAAGCAACCCCAGTGCCTTGTAGCACCCTGTACACTGCAGGTGACAGACTGGGCTCCTCGCAACTCGTTGTCTTTCCTATCATGTAGCATCATGTCTGAACCTGCTGCTGTGATGTCCCTGTGTGTCTTTCAACAGCCAGGGAAGAGTGGTTTTCATCCTTGGGAGAGAAATGCCGCCTGCTCAAGCTCCAGTTCCACAAACAGGAATGCACTTGAGTCACTTTACAAAACCCACTATTTTCCCTTTAGTTGGTGGGCCTATGTGCACATACCATGTTATTTGTGCATGAATCACTCACATGGCTCTGTGTTCGTAGATTGAGTTTTTGGCACCTGTCTACACACAGCTTCTGTAACTCCCAGAGGTCCCAGGCTCAGCCAGTACTGACAGATACCGCTGTGCTGGCCTACCTCCATTCATTTATGAGGGCTCCGGCATTTTAAGCCTAGGTCTAAGTTTATTTGGCATCAGATATCAGAGTAGAGAAGAGAGTAAATGAACAACACAAAGGGGAAAGCAGCCTCAGACCAACTGCATTGCAATACTTCAATTTTTTCAGTGTTGCCTAGTGTTTCTAGAGAACTGACTTGGAAAAAGTAAGACAGCATGTCTGCTGTGCACTGATATAAATCCTTAACCAATCTTTATGTCCCTGCATTAAAGACATTACCATACTGGGCCCTCTTCCCAAGTGTAGTGGGCCCAGCCCAGCTCTGCAGCCCAGCAGGAGAGGCAGCGTCATGCAGAGAGTGCCTTCACTGAGCTCCCTGCACGCTCATGTGTGAAACGAGAAAGGGGACCAGGGCATCCACTGCTGAGCAGGTCCACCAGAGGTCATCTCTTTCTGTGGAGCACTAATGCCAGGAATTGCAGCATCATCCTAAAGGAGGTGGTAGGAAGAGAGTGTACACTCTTACTTTGTACAAGGGTGCACAATCTGCTTCTTGGGGAACAGGGCAACTTAAGGAAGACAGTCCCTTCACACGTCTAGTGTTTTAGGTCACCCTCTGACCCTCAGTTCTAAGTCCATGAGAGGCTGACTGATGCTGATCCTGGTGTACGGGTTATGGAAGACAGCAGTATGATTTGCAGCCTCTCCTCAGGAATAAACTCACTTCCCCTTTTATCTTAGCCAGGCACATGGCCAACGAAAAGAGGGTAGAGAGATTTATTTGCATCCCACTCTCTACTCTAAGTGTAATTCCTCAATCGCACATGCCAGGACAAAGCATCTGACAAGGACTCTGCTCCAGTGAGGAAAGAGTTGTTGGAGGGGTTGCCTCATGAGAACAGCTGGGGTCCCAGATGGCAGGAAACCCAGTGTGAGGATATTTTCCTCCCTTTGCCATTATACTGTACCTGCAGCACATGCTTGTTGTCTTTAGTATGCAACATGGCAGAAACTGTTGCTAAGGAAATACCAGGCTTAATCTCCAAGGGCACAAGCGAATCTGCAAGCTAAAGCAAAAGAAGGATTTTGTTCAGCAAGTGATAATCTCAAAATTTGTATGAATCCAGCTGTGATTTAAATTGGCAGCACGGTATTTTTAAACATGGACTAATGAACTGTAAACATAAACCCACTGATACAATGACAGAGTGCTCCCCTTACCTGCTTAGCCCTCCTCCTTCCAGCTCTTAAAGCTACTGATTTTCACAGTTATCAGAGTAGTGCGAGGTTTTCAGTGACCAAGGCAAGTCTCACAAAATATAACAATTAAAGAGAAAACCTCGTTTAAAAAGACATCAACTGCTTTAATAATAATTTTGATTAGTAAAACTCATAATGCAATTTGTCATTATTTATTATGCTTGTTACACACATGAACAATGAAAAATTAAAGCCAGTTTCCTTTCAGTTCCTTAGTGCTGTGGCATTCTGTCTGCAGAACAGCTGGAAGAAAATGGTTTGTCCTTAAAAACCCAATGGCTCTGTTGACTGGTTTGAAATTTTTCCTTACAACACTGCACAGAAACCCTTCCACTGCCTTTTATATAATTCTTCTCTGAAAGAAATAAAATTTAGTCTTGGCTCCAACTTTGAATTCAATGGCAACCTCCCAAGATCCTCAGCATTGCGAGTGTTGGCAGTGAATGCGGAGCGGGCAGTACTGCACCTGCTGAAACTTGCAGAAGTTGGCCAGCTGGGAAGCACCTCTTCCAGCCACGTTTCCCAAGGAACGCTGCAGAAAACAGTGCTCGTGAACACAGAAAATTACTCCCTTTTTCCCTCCAAGGCAGTCCTAGATGACAATACAGTGTGCAGCAGCCGCCCTGGAGTCCTATCCACAAATACAGCCAGGATCTAATCCTAGATAAACAGGTACCTTCACACCGCATGGGCCATCAGCCCAAGCAGTTTCCAAGTATCACTCCCAGCCAGGCACGCTCCTGTTATTCACTGTGGACCTGAAGGCAAGGATGCGTGAAGTGTGCTCTTTGTCTGGGGGAAACCCTGCAGGTGATTCACAAAACAAAAACAGGTAAGATGGCTCATGCATTACACCACTGGATGGGAGGACTTTTCAGTTGTGAAGACAAGTCACACCTAAAGAGACAGAATCTACTTGGCTGTTTTTCCTAACAGTTGTACCACCAACCCACCCAGACCATCAACCCATCTCATGCAGAAGGGGCCTCTACAAGATGATCTTCAGCTGAACTCCATTCCCTTTCACCTTCAAACACATGGCACCTCCAGCTGGAGCCATATATTAAGAAGAGCTTAACCTCCAGGTAAAGGAGTTCTTTTGAAACTTCAGCCATCTACTGTAGCACTTCCCCAGAGCAGAGCTCTGGAGAAGCAGCTATTATCATTGTCCTGCCAGCAAGGCAACATCAGCTCTCTTTACCTTGCCAGATGCTCCCATGCCTAAAAAGCAGGAAAAGAAACTAAATGGATTTTAGAAAAGCATGGTATATTCCCATTTTGGAGATAGCGCACCTGAGGCAAAGCAAGATTAAATTCCTTACCAAAGACCACCTAGTGAATTTTCAAGAGGATCCAAACCAGGAGAGGGATGGAGCAGAACAGCTGAACCCTACCACTTCTCAAGAAATTTCAGGTACCAAAATTGTACTGCCGAGTACCCTGGTCTGCTGTAAATTATGACTACGTATGTGACCACTCTCTTACTACAAAGCTCTAATCCTTATGAATACAGAAGCAACTGAACTTGACTTCAAAAAGCACTCACTACTGGCCTAATCCTTTTGCCATCAAAGCACTGAGAAGGCTTTTCTGTTGGCTTCATTAGCAGCAAAGTTCAGCTACTCCTAATAACTTCTGAAAATCGTATGTACCACTATTAAAGCTGCAGGAACATTTTGAGAGCACCTCATTGAAGTAAAACAGTTGCATAGATGATTGTTTGGGAAAAACACAGACATTTTAAGGCTGCATTGAAATCCCCTAAATTTTGCACATATTCTGACTTGGTGAATCTTAGAAACCAAAATTTCATGGAGCAATTCAGATTGGTCTCTCTCTGGGACTCTGTTCAAGATCTTTAAAGCAGGCAATTTGCATACAGCCTTTACAGTTTGTTGTTGAAGGCTAAGAGAATGAAAATATAATGATAATCATTGCTTCAGACTTCCCCTGGGACCTAAAAATAGTAACACTTGCAGCAGTGTGTTAAGCTGCACTTTGCAGTGGTCGAAGGCACTTTCCATTCCCACCACCTTCCAGAGGAGGATCAATACAAAATGGGCTCTAATGAAGAATACATGGCAAAATGACAAACACTGTAAAGAGAAAGATCCTTAAAAAACAGAGAGCCGCTTAGAACCAAAGTCCTCTTCTGCCATTGAAATACTTTGATATTAACATTTATGCAGGCTTTAACCACACAGTTGGTAAATAGCAACACTTTAATTATTAACCGTCAAAAAGACAGTAAGACAGACGTTCATTTTTATTTTCTCTAAGATATTGCTTCATCTCACAGCCCTCTCCATGCTCTGGCTAATCCTTTTATTATAGAAGTTCACTGACCCAAACCAAAAAGGTCATTTAATCACATCCAGTAATTCACCCACCAAGACCAGACAGCACTGCTATACTCCTTTCAACTGACCTCCTGCACACACAAATCACAGAACTCTTCCAAAATGCTGGATTAAAGAAACCATTTTCAGAGAGAAAGCAAATCTTGTCTATACTCCAAGCAATGGCAACTCCACCATTTCCTCTCGCAAGCTGTTCCAAACTTTAATTTTCCTTGCAGCTAGGAAACCGTGTCTTATTTCAAGGTTGAATTTGTCCAACTTTCGGTTTCTGGATCTTGTTATGCCTTTGTCTGTGAGATCGAAAAGCCCCCCACTATGCAAGAATAAATGTGTCTTCCTTCCAGTCATTATCACAAGTCTAATGCCACATGCTGGCATCAAGAAAGTCACAAAAGCAGAGACACGCGGCACTGAGAACTAACATCACATTAATCAGTCCCCTGCCTATGGATGAGCACTTGGACTGCCTTAAGACAAACTTGTGTGTGTACATATGTCTAGTGCGTATTAATTTTTTTTAAATCCCTCCTGTTAAGGAAAATTTAAAACAGAGACCAACCAAAACCCAAAAGTAATTGACACTCAGTAGTCTGAAACTGCAAGTGTTGATATGAACCTTGTAATGGCTGAGGGAGAGAAGAGTCAGCTTGGAATGTTCTGCTCCTGTGATCAGAGCTGTGCACCTATGTTCTTACAGAGTAAAGACATTTTTACCGTAAACTGCAGTTGAATCTTTTGCGTAGGATTGCACTGTCCAAAACAAAAAGAGATCTGACACATACTATGTGAGCCCAAACACCGTTGTTGGCCAAGCTATAGTTGTTTATAAAGAAGAACAAAGTACATGAGTTAGGTTACTCTGAAGTCTCTACTAAGGCCTTCATCAGGGACAACTCTTCCTAGGCTTAAGGTCGCATACCATCTTTGGTCACCAGCCAAAAATCCTCTTGTTGGCAATAAAGAGCTGAACAATGACTGAGGCTGGGATCTGAAACTCCTACAGTAAAAAAAAAAAATAATAATTGAGGCTGAATAATCAAGTGAATAAAATCAGGAGAGGACCAGAATTTTAGCACATGTGGTCTTGGCCCTCTGGAGGATTTTCCCAGGGACAGACATGCACAGACGTACACCAGCCAGTATTTTAACATCCGAGTTGCAGCTATACTGGCAGCAGTGACTACCAGTGATTTCCTCCTAGATTTCTGGGACAACTCTCCAAACTTCTCCTTTTCCCCTCTTCAGCTTCAAGTTTTATAAGTGCAATATCTCTTGGCCTACACTAGAGAGGATGCAGGAAGACTGACTCAGCAGGGAGAGGTGAAGTCTGAGTTGAGTGAGGCGAGCTGGATCTTCACTCTCCAGGACTGGAGCAAAGTGGAACAAGCAGGAGCACAGCAAAGCTTATCAGTAATTAAAATCCCCTTAACTTTTCAGATCTGAAATTCACTGATGTGTACACTAGATTATAGCATGTGTATTTAGAAAGGGACACAGCTGGGTTTTTACATCAACACTGAATGTGTATTTTCCAGATTTGCAAATTGTGCATAAATGTATGATCCCTGCATTAGAGGTAGGAGCCAGAGTTGCAACTCTCTACCAAACCAGAGAAATCAAAGACATGAAACAAGCTGTGAAACCACTGGGCAGGACAGACCCATTATGAATTCAACACATTGCAAGTCCTTAGAACAAAGAAAGAATAAAGTTGTAATATATTCCTTGGGGCAGAGATGAGTTTTGTTCGGTGCTTGTGCAACACCTAGCGCTCAAAAATTGTACTAAGAGGTCCATTACTCATGCTACTATATCGCAGTAATAAAATAAATGGAAGGAAAATTAAAAAAAAAAAAAAAAAAAAAAAATCATTGGAATTGGATCACATGCAACTAACACAACAGCTTTCTCTGATAAGACAACTGCTGAGGAGCAGCCACAGTCTGTGCTTCATGAAGCACTAGCAAGGTACCACATGGGAAATTACAAACTGTGGATTTCTACAGCAGTCCTGAGGTGGGGAAAGTGCTGGTTAAAGCAAAAATATTCCCAGACAACTACTGGGCTGTTGCTGCAATTCCTGAAGGGTCAGTCTTGAGCCTACTCCCATCCAATTTTTATTAATGACCTCAGTACAGAATAAAGAGAGAGTGTTCAGAAGGCCCCACTGAAGTTTGTAGAGGCACCCTTAATAGAAAGAAAGATCAGGCTATCATAGAGGAAGAACTAGATGACCTCAAGAACTGAAGTGAGAAAAACAAGATGAAATTCAATAGCATGAAATGCAAGGCCAGCGACTGGGCGAATGCCGAGAATTTCTGCTGTGAGCTGGCAGCTGCTGGAAATGACAGAGGTGAAGGGTCCAGGTTTATTAGTCCACCCCACGAGAACTAAGTCACAAATGTGACATGGCCATGAAAAAGCAAATGCAACTCCAGAAAGTATCA